AATAAAAGGCAACAAAAATATGAAAGACTTATTGAAAATTAAGAATGACAAAACCACATCAATGAAATTTGAAGAGCAATGACAATGTTTTATCTTACATTTTCAGTAATTATGGTTCTGCTAATTTTTAGAAAGAAATAGGTTAACAAAGGTAAGTTATATCAAATTACCAGACAATTAAAAATAGTTAAAGAAAGAACCTATAAAAAAAAAAAATCAGCTAAGTGTTTTATCATTGGTTTTTTTTTTTTTATCAAAACCAGTACTATCTTATATAAACATTGATAAAAGCAACACAAAACAACCTTTTTATGGTAAGAGTTGGAGAATATATTTTTAAAACTGTAGCGGGTGGTTGATCACTGCCCAAAGATTATTGGTTTGTAGTGACATCACTAAAACAAAATTTTGGAACCACTGATCAAGGTGTATGAAGTGGTATTATGTTGTGGCAAAGTGAATCAGGGTCTGATCATCCTGATCCACTGAGGAAGGGAGTATGATGTTGAAAGACTCAACACCCCAATATTTCTGGCTATAAAACATCACTGACAACACCCCCACCCCCAATGCATCAGAAAAGCATATTTTACAAGCAATTATTGGCTATTTGAAACCTGAAAGACTAAAATGAATTTTTATGAATTTAAAACCTAAAACTTTGGTCTAGGGGATGAAAAAAAAATATTGCATTCATCATGAAGTAATAAATAGTAGAAACCAAGTGATAAGATGAGAAACATTTTAAAGCATATAATGAATATTTTTAGTAAAATACCTCAGTTTTGACAGGTTATTCATAAACTGTTATGAACAATATTGATATGAAGCTTATGGCAAAAATGTAAATAATAGAATTCAGCTTAAAAAGCACAAAATTTACACAACTGTTTGTAAATAAACTTTTATTAGCAATGTATTTCCAAATATTCATTGAAATTTCCCCCAACCATTTCTCAATTTTTACAATACAATTAAGCAATGTTTACTTTTAAAATGTTTTAAAAGAAAGAATTAAAGAATGACTATCATTACTGATAAGATCATGCCTGAAGATTGCATTTAAGCATAAAATAGACTGTCACCACTTGGTGTTGACCTGTGTCCACTTATATAATTACATATGTTCTATCTCTGATATTGATCACTTTTACCTATAAAGATAGCGTACCACAAAACTATATTTGTATCATTATATGTGTGTGTGTGTGTGTGTGTGTAAGCAAAATTATTCAAGAAAATACATCTGTATACAGATTCAGTAACAAGCTACATGTTCAATTTTTTTCTGTAAATCTTTAATTTTGATATGAAAGTTTACTTTGGATAAATAATTTCAGATTAAATTTTTGAAATTGCTGTTACAGGCATTCATTGAATCAACTAAATTTGAAAAATCTATTAAATATGGCCAGAGTGCTTCACACATTTACTTTGAATAACATACATTGCAAGATAAAGTTGTTTTTAGAATAAAGCAACTGTCAAGAAAAGGGTAATCAAGAAACAGTTTTTTTGAGTTTTTTTTCAAAGTTCATTTAATTTCCTTTGTAGTTAAACCTCCAAAATGCAGAATTATTGCTTTCTGGTTTACAAATGTGGCACGAAAACTTCTACTTATATTTGTTTGTGGATAATTTAGTATTTTATGATTTTTATTTGTTGATAATATGCTCATATGTGTAAAATTATGACACCAATATTTTACTTGAGAATTATAAATTTTATCAAGGTAACAATATGTAAAGTTTGGCTTAGGAAAAAACACACATATTTCATGCCTATCTAGTACTTTTTTGGCTAAGCTTTAATAAATCTTATGCAAGATATTACTATATAAATAATTTTTAGAATGGGGATGAATTGAATAAGAGAAGTGGACATTAAAAATTTAAAGCCAACAAGTCTGTATCCAGTTTCAGTAATATGGTATTGAAGAGCCACTCCACTCCCAATTTAATGAACAATAAGATGATTTCTGAAAATGTCATTATAAAATAAGACATAAACTTGGCAATATCAGAACAAAATACACTTAAGTAAATGTCTAGTTTGCTTGTCATGCAATATATATTTAGGGAATTATTCAGTTGTACTTATATCACAGAAACTAAATTATTGCTGCAAGTCTATATATATATATATATATATATATATATATATATATATATATTCAATATCAAGCAGTTTTTATTTCATTGCTCAAATTTGGCTTGTCAATTTTCAGAAAAGGATTTATTTTATGAAAAGCTTTTTAACGTTGAAGCCCAAAAGTCAACATGATCATTACAATAATAATAATTAGCATATTGGTTTTACAAGTCAATGGTAGCAAATTCAATACTCAGTTTGAGCTTTGTATAAATTCAGCATAAAAAAAATAGTAAACTAGTGAGATTTTTATAGACAAAAATTGCACAAAACAAAGTTAGGCTTCTTTGCTTTAAATAGTAATTAGGATAACCGAATTCAAATTGTCTCCTTAACAGTAATAATTATAAAGGAATGTAACTTTGTTGAAATTATGAATAGTAAAAACTTTTTCATAGGTAATTTTAATTTTATGACAATAAATTAAAATTTTTAATATTAAATTATTGAAAAATTTAATAGCTTTAAAATAATGCCAACAAAATTAGATTTCATGTTTTATTACTCTTAAAATTAAATTTGTAATATGAAGTCACATTTTTTTAGCAGATCAAAAAGCTAAAGAATGCCCTAAAAATAATATTCTTTCATTTTTCACTATTTAAAATTAGATTATTTTTAGACCTGTTCATTTCACAAGATTCTGTTCCTGCTGGGAATTAATTAGGCTGAAATCTATCACAATCACTACATTGTGCCATATAAAATCAGACACTATGAACCAAAGCTAGACATAAAAATGGGCAATACCAATGTTAAATATAAGACTTCTTATGCTGTAGACATTCTCCACAGACAAAATCTGTCTAAGTTTTCAGAAGTATCTCAGCCAGGCAATGTAGCATATATTTAAAACAAGAAACATTCATTTTATTTGTAAGCTTCAAGCTTCACTTAAAAAAAAAATTTGGCCAATTTAAACAATGTGAACTTTGAAATGTAAGTCTTCATGATAAACACGTTTACTAACAATTTAACAGTTAGCTGAAGGAATGTTGCTTTTTTGGTATAGGCTTTATTCAGTACATCAAATAAGTTGTATATTTTGTTAAATATGAATGTGTGTGCAGGTTTATTGTTAGGAATTCAACCAAATCATGGGTATAATCTGTGCATAGTCCAACTTTCAGAAATATTAGATAACTTTAGGAAAACAATAAATTAAATCAGGAGGAGGTAGATATATGTATAATATATAAGTATTGTATCTTTCTTTTTTCTTTATTTAGTTGTTATGTTGTGCTTATAGAATTCAAATTTTTTTCCTTTCATGAAATTGTTTCATATTTTATTGATTTTCTTCCTCTCAAAATAAATCAATTTTTCTGAAAAGTCTTTTAGAAAACAGTAGGAATTAAATTTTTATTTGAAATCAGTTAAATGATTTTTGCATAAAGCTGAATACCAGTTTGGAATAAGAAGGCCTTTGTCTAAAGAAAGTTGAATGAAAATTATACAGATGTAAACTGAATAGAAAATGGAAGACAAATGCAAGTTTGATTCTTATGAAAGAAAATTTTCTAATTCCCTGCCTTAACTCATTATCAAGTTTATAGAAGCTGAGCATAACCTGAAAGAAGTCAGTATAAAAAAAATCAAAGTTAACTATCAGATTTAGTAAGTTTTCCCAAAGGATTAATTCTGTAGTAATATTTTCCTTGATTTTGACCGAAAAGACAACAGAATTATTATGTGCGGTGATTATGAAGCTGTGTAATAGGAATAAAATTATTTTCAACTGATATTTTTTTAGACATCCTGTATGTGTGTGGGTTTATAAAGATGATTACTTGCTTATATATATATATATATTGTAAATATTTTAACAGTTTTCAAAAATTCATAAACTGTGATGAATAACAGATTAACTCCCTTCATTTTCCAAATATTTTTATGAATGACAATTTAAAAATAAAAATGTATTTTATCATTACATATTCATAAAAAATAATTCTTGTCTATTTAAAATACCTATAAAACTATTGCCAGCCTTTAACACCCATAAGTCTACCTTTGGGGACTATCTATAAGCTCTTGTGAAATAAAAAGCTGAGAGAAAAATGTTTTCAAAAGCAATTGTAGTCAGAGGCAGAAGATCTACATGATTCACTTCCTCATCCAAGCCCCAGATAATTTCAAAATGCTATTCAGCCCTATACTTTTTCAGATATGTCTATGTACAACAATCACCAAGAATATTCTTCAAGTGTATCAAATCCAAAGGCATTAAATAACAGTAACTATATTTACTTTAGTTTTATATTTACACAAATTATTTTTATTTGTTTACTTTTCTCATAAAAAAATCAAATGAACATGTAAAATGTCATAAAAGTATTTTAAAATGTGAAACATAATAAAAATACATTTGCAAATATGATGGCATACAGTGATTGCACCCAACTCCTAAATAAGTGGCACATATCAGCAAAATTTTGACATTCATGAAGGCCTTCCTCTTAAAACCATTGTGAATGCATTATTACTCTAATTATTTTTTAAGATATCAGGTAGACCAAATACACATACACAGGTAGATAGGTTTTTTAAAGTTTTCTTTACTTTGGGCTAACAGCATTATAATTACAAGTAAACATAATCATCTTATGTTGTTGTTTTTTCTGGGTTTTTTTTTGGGGGGGTTGCTTGAAAATTGCATTCCAGTAATATATGAAGCATATTTGTAATTGCTCCCCAGATTACAGGTGAAATAATAAAAAGCCAGGAACCAATTAGTCTTCTTAAATTCTTACAAGTATATATTTATACTTGTAGATATGTTAGTTTTCCGAGTGCTGTATCTGCTTACTGGATTTAAGGTCTGTAGCTAGATTCCTTCCAAATAGCATTTAATATTGACAGGTAGAGTTTTGTATATGAGGTTTCATAAGTTCTAAGACATTTTCAGCAAGCTCAACCACCTCTGGCTCAGTATCCTTGTTGTAGACCAGCTCATACAAGATATCAGAGCCCTTCTCTTTATGTAACATTGGACAATAACGGTTACCTGCAAAAAGATAAAATGTTTTTAACAAGTTATTTTTTAAAGAATAACTTTCTTGCAAATACTTAATATAAACATAAGGATTTGCTTATACTTGTATATTATTACATAAATTTCCTCTTTTTTTATTAGAAATACATTTGTTCTTATAATTTCTTAAGATAAAGTAAACTTTCAATTTTGAGCAGTTCATTATATCAATAATTCTCAGTCTTTGTAGAAGTTTTTCAAATGAAGGATCAAGTACACAAAAAAGAAACATATTTGGTGTAATCAAAGAAAAACAATTGTACTTTATCTGAGATGATATTAACAAAAATACATTTTGTATTAAATCTCAACTTTCACCATTTCATTTAAAGACAAATATATATAAGATTTAGATTTTAGTGGGACTCACCATTTTTTGTACAGACATGTTGAATAGCCCAACAAGCCCACAGTTGAACAGCAGGAGCTTCATAACATTGTAACAGTGGGAAAAACGGTCTGAAAGACCTGCAAAGAGCAATATAACAATGAAGTTATTTGAAATAACATTTATTTAAGAATACAGACCAATAATTTTCCATAAAAATAAACTAAGTATATATTTTTACTAATTCAAAATTGTTGATATTCAAATCACAATATTCATTAAATTCTTGATACCAACTGACGGATTACTGAAAAGAAAATGTAATATGAAATTATAAGAGAACAGGGGAGATAACTGCTGATTTAAGATGAACTAAGTCCATAGATTAATATAAGTCAGAAAGTGTTTGTTGTTTATTCCTTTTGACTATATAAGACTTGAAAAACATATAGGCATCATATCCAGGAATAGCAATCTATAAAAATATCACAAAACTATGAAGGTTGCATAGATGAGACAGACAATAGTCTTCACTACTTAAAAAGTTAAACATTTGTTAATTGAATTGTATTATTTTCTTATATGAAAAATAAATTAAGTCATTCTAACATAAAAAATGAAAAAGAAATTTAAATCAATGAAACTGGCAAAACTTTCAAATGTAATATTTTTTTAATTTATCCAATTAATCTGGAATTCTAATACAAGTATAAAGTAAAATATATTACCAGAAAAAATATTAAAATGTAAAATTTTAGACTAAATTTAGATTAACCATCGATTAATAAAGACAAGAAACCACACATTTTAATCTTTCTTCCCTTGCTTTTCCATTTTTTTATGTGACTACACACAACCAATTTTATAATATAAATGCATTTATGAAGTCAGTGGTGATTCTGGATGGAATTGCTGCTGTCTGGTAAAATTCTAAATGGTCTGTGTTGTTACCAGAAAAGCCATGTAAAGGTGAAGTATATGAACAGGCTTACCTGTAAGCAACCATTTCTGTTTGGGGCTGTTCCCATTTCATAACAACATTTTTCTATAAAAGAAAATTAAATTTTAGTTGAAAATCTAACATTCATGAGGATTTTCATCTTAAAATCCTTGTCAATGCATTATTACTATAATTATTTTTGAAGATATCAAATCGGCAAAGTACACATGCACTATCATAAGAACCAAATAAGATAATTGCATAACTTTCGTTTGCTACTAAGTTCTAGGTTTATTTTTCAGACTACTATCATAAATAATACAAGAAAAATCAAAATTTTAAAAGTTTTAGTCTTTTGAATAGTTTCCTTTTATGGAACTGTAAAAATTACCTCAACTGTTTTTACAATATGTATAAAACTCTTACCAACTCCGCAAGAACATCTTCTCTAGTTAAACTTGAACTCATCCAATGCTCATTGGCATCACTAGCAAGATGAGCAAATATCCCTGCTGCAAAATAACTGACATCAATCTGTTCGGCTTGGAGTAGACGCCTGAAAAGTATATTTCAATGAACATCATTTCAAAGTTAACATTCAACAAAATATTTATTCTAAACAGAATTATTTTAGATGACAAATATTTTCAAAGAAAAACAATACAAGATACTACACAATACCTCTATAACTATTATACAACTGATAATTCAACAATTGTGGATAGGCTTCATTTCTACTTCAAATTTCATAAATACAAATGACTTAATATAGAAAGCACTTATAAAAGTAACCAGATTATCAGCATATTAGTCATGTTCTTTAAGTGTAGCTACACACTAAATACAGTTCTGTATAGTTTTGATAAGTAGCATGAACAAATAAAATTGCTATTTTGATAGATGCATACATGGAAACAAACAGAAAATTTTGACACACTCAAGCATCATTATGATTTGTATTGAAAATCTTTCTTTTTTTGTAAATAATAGGCCTTAGTTTTATGTGATTGTCTTTTACTAAGTTATATACTTACAAACTGGACACAGAGAAATTTTCTTTTCAGTGTATCTAATGTAATATTAACAAAACTTTTCTTTTTGAGGCAATCTAATAATTAGAATAATCTAGACTATAATGCATCATCATCATTTTTCAAATGCAGTTGGGATCAGAGCCAATGCAAACAATCCTTTCCTTTAGCTGTATAGTATGTGCTATGCCAGGGCTACATAGTTTTGAATTCAGAGTTACTTTCTCCTAGACCAGTTGCCACCCAAAACTAAAGAACCTAGTCTGTCCTATTTATCCATAGTTGGAGGGAGAAGAGGAGGATTCATACCTTTCCCAAGAGTATTAGCATGTAAGTGAATGTAATGGATCCGACTGGAATTTGAACTTGGCTCTCCAATTCCTCAATCCAAGCCACTATCCATTACTCCACCTTGCCCATAATTCATTTACAACTTCATATTTACATGAGGACAGCTTTGAATAATTTGGACCTACCTGACTAGTAGAATGAAATCTTCTCCCATTAATGCATAGCGAAGTTTTTTAACTTCTGCAATATTATTCTGTAAATAAAAGTAAATTAAATTTGTTATGAAGAATTTGGGTAAAATGATTTTCTTAAAGATTAAAAAAGGTAAGAAAAAAAGAAAGACATTTAAAAGCTTACCAAAAGACCAAGTATTTTGGTTTCTACTTGTACTCTAACATCAGGTTGCAATGATTTGACAACCTAAAAAAGAAAGAAGATAAATCAGAAAAGTAAATATTGTTAACAAATTTATAATCAACAGAAAAAATGAAAATATGAAATAAGAGAAAATAAAGCGTGGAATGATTTAGGGAGAGAGAAGCAAGAAGAATATGAAATGAAATGAAATAAAAGATTCTGTAGCACTGAAAAAATATATATATGATGGATTACAATTGAAAAAAAAAAAAAAAAAAAAATGAAATTTTGCTTAACAATCAAATTTTGACATTAAATTTCTAATGAAGTAATTATAATGAAATAGTAATTTCTCTGTTTAATTCAAGAGTATTTATTTTGAATATTGGGAAAGTTTTTGCCAAAAAATTATTCAGAGAATATTATTAATAATAGTGAACACAAAATTGAATGTAAATAAATATATTTTGAAGTATGTTTTTTGACAAGATTAGCTTCCATAACAACGAAATGAGACGAGGAATGTGTACTGAACTCAAACCAAAGTTTGGAATAAGCTTTTTAATATGTACTAAAGAAAAAATTGATTTAATTTGATAAAGTGAAGTGGATTTATGCTTTTCATAAGTACATTAGTGTAAAGTGAATATAGACAGTCTCCGTCAAAAATCAAACTGTGTTCACTGATTCTGTTTTTTGTACTTGTCATTATCATGTAACTATGCAATTCTTTTACACGAATTAATTTACAATACACACATAAGCATATATATTCATTTATATTTAGCATCAATTAACTTTAGAAACTGGAAAAAATATTTAAAGCTGAAGAAAAAAATCTACAGTAAATTTGTAAAGATGTTGAAATCTACCTCAAGAGCTCTCATGAAAAGTTCAAGACCTCCTTCACTAAGAAAAACGTTACATGTAGCAGGAGACTCATCTGGAAAAAAACAAGTATTGAAAAATTTCTTAAAAAAACTGCTAGGAAATAAAGCTATCACTCCACAAAATGTGTTTTCTTTATAATTATATATTGATAAATCAATGTCATGAAATTCTAATAACATAATATTTGAAAAAATAAGGTAATTTCATGTAAATTATATATGTATCCAATTAGAAGACTTTTCTTGTTCTTAGCAATTTTGTTTTTGGTTCTATATAATGTTGTGTTTATTTTAAAAGATTAAAATTACAAGATATTTGTTTTTCAGAGAAAATTAAAACACCAAAGAAATTTTAGACAAAATCTGAAGATTAACAAGGAAAAAATTCATTTTATGCAAAAAATAAAAAATGCTATTCTGTCCAATGAAATAAGCTACAGAAGTTATTGATATTATAAAGAATAAAATATCTGATGCTTGTTTTCTATCATTACATAACAGGAAGAATTAATATCTGATAAATACTGATCATTTTTAGCTTTTTTACTAATTCATCTGCACAATTTGTCCATCTTTTCTCTTTATATTTTTAGTCATATGCCACAATATGTTGCTCCAATATTATATCTAATATAACAAAAGACAAGTGTTACATTTTTATATACATTTCTAACATCTCAGTAGTATATTCTTACCAGTGAGATTCCAGAGAGCACTAAGAGTGAACTTCAAGGTAATGTCAATAACAGGTTGCTCCATCTTCATGCGCACCAGTCCCAGCATTTTCTGCATGTACAGGTGAGTACCACCAAGTTTGGAGGTTTCTTCTGTTGAGATCTTTAAATACATAAGTAAATAGCTTTGAACGAGAACAAAATTTTGCAAACACAAAAGAATAAGTGAAATTAAAATCTTTTAATAAGATTTTAATTCTTTACAGTTTGAAGACCCAATCATTTTATAAATTTAAAGTTTAGTATGAAAGCTGTTAAATAATGTTATTGTTTAGAGTTACCTGTTCTTACTAAAACAATTTGAAATATTAAAAAAAACTTTTGGTATGATCTAAGATTAGCATAATGGTTTGTCATCATATCAAACAAAGGAATATTTCTTCACACTAATTAGTTCAAATGAATCCTTTTTTAAAATGACAAACCAACAGAAAAGATGTTTGGCAAGTGACCAATCAAATATGAAATAAATTCACAAGTAGTCTTGTGATATGCATTAATCAGCATGTCAATAAAGTACCAAGCATTTAAAGGAAGGTAATGATAGGATCACAATGGGTAAATCTATTTCAATTAACGGAAAAAAGAAATAACATTAAACAATCAGTTATGACAGATTTGAAGAGATGACTAGAACAAAATATTTGCTTTACAAAGTTGCTTTTCAGCCTTTCTGCCATATTTGGAGAAATACTTTTGTATCTACCAGAGTTTGAATGTGCTGTACTCTAGTTGCTTGTTTAAAAGATTGACAAACTATATGCAAAAAAATGTCATTGCGACACCCCTTTTACTGGTATATACAAATACTGGAAATGAAATGAGCCTCATATGTACACACCCACACTATGTAGTGATAATATATTTCATTTTAAAAAAGCAATAATTAAATAGACTGGTCCCCTCATAAAGGAAAGATAACTACATATATGTCATAAAGTCAGGGATCAGTTTGACGTATTTATATTGCAAACAGAATCACCCATCTAAAATAATGGAAAATTAATGTTTTTCAATACTGACAAATTGCCTGAATAAAGGAGTGTTTTCTAGGCAACAAAAATTAGTTGTGAAAATACTTTTATCTATAACAAATTACTAATTAATATTCATGTTGGAAAGTAAAGGATCATTTAACATTTACTGAACATATTTTCTTTTGTTTCAATAGTTATTTTGATTTTATGCTGAAAAAGCTTTATATTTTTATACAGTAATACAACAATCACATTCTTTCCACAATATATTCTAAGCTAATAATGTTGTAATGCTTGATTTCTTTTTAAAAAATGTTCCACTGCAATGTATCATTGCTAATAATTCTAGTCATCTAGGTATGTCCAAAAATTTGCTGAAAAAGAGCATACCCTGATGAAAAAAGGCTCCAAACTTGATTTTTTATTGTCTAAATGTTTATGTCATTAAGAAAAAAGACCAAAGTATTTTTTGAGTAATTTTTTTATTTTAGGAAAATTAGAAAATTTAAAGTATACTTAATGTAATTTGAAAGAAACATTACTTACTATTTTAGCAGAAAATTTTTAAAGAGAGACATGTCTAACTGTGGTGATTGGTTTTGGGAGGTGTGAATTGACATATGCCAATGTACTGACAACTTACGTCAGGGGAATTTATCGGATAGTAGGAAAGAAGTGACAAAAATTGTGCTAATTTTAAGTGAACCTGGTTAGTAGAGTTAAATAAAAAATACATTTTCAAAAATTAAATTTTTGTTTTTTACCTTATGTTTGAAGAATTCTGGAATAAAAATCTTACTTATTATAAAACGCAGGTTGTGTGTGTGTGTGTGTCTGTAACGTTTATATGTTGGATCGAATTTCCTACATTTTTTAGCCGATTTCAACAAAACTTCACAGGACTACATAAAATTACCTTTTGGTGGTTCTAACGGGGCCGAAAAATGGAAAAAACACAGTTGTTTTTTAAGAAAATCAATTTGAAAACACAATGAAAGGGGGACAACTCACCCACGAAAATGTAAACAAATGAGCATAGCATGATGAAAAAGACGCCAAACTTGACGAAAACAAAATTTTATCGTCTAATGTTCATATTATTATTAAAGAGGAAAGATCAAAGTATTTTGGGGTATTTTTTTTACATTTTTAATCGTTCCTAGCATGTCTGAAATTTTCGTTAAAAATATTTTTTTTTTTTTCAAAAAAAAAGGACAGATAATCAATCATTTTTAATCATTTTTTCGATTTGATAAAAAAGATTAAAATCTTACTTTGATATTCTTTTAAAAATCAATTATCATTTTTTTCAAAACTGATTTTAATAAAACAGATATTATACTGTTTATTTAAAATATTTTGAACCAAGCTTAACTTAGCTTCTGCGCCGAAAAATGTAATTTGAAAATAAAACAAAGCAGGTCATAACCTTTCGCGTCGCTTGACGATTGACGAAAGGCACATTCATGACGTTTAGATAACTTACGGGAGGATAATTCTTTCTACGGATGGAAGGAAGTGAAATTATTTAAGTGAACAAATTATTTACCTTGTTACTTTTAAGGAAAACTTTCAGCGCTCTAATTTTTTTTTTTTTTTTTTTTTTTTTTTTTTTTGTACTTAGCTTTCATTTTTACGTTTACGATGCTTTATGGAAAATATAAAAGAAATTAAAAATAAGACTGTTAATAGTGAGATTAAATTTCATAAGAAAAAAGGTATCTAATTAATTTAGGTACCTTTCTTATGAAATTTTATCAGAAGTGTACATAAAATACTATAATTTTATGTACATTTATTACATTTTACTGTGTTATTTGTATTTTCATTCATTTTATTATTAATTTTGATATTTCATTTATGGAAAAATGTCATAACTGAGATTAATATAAAAATAAGATCATATAAATTAAAGTTTAGCAGTAGTTAAATTTCATAAGATGATACTGTTACTTGTAGGTACCCTTCTCAGTTGAAATTGAAAACTCAAATTAACTTCTCCATCCGTGTTTCGCAAAAAAGTAAAGGGCTTAACAGCGGAGAACAATGCTGAACTCAAATAATGCAACTAAATTGTATTCTGGTTGGTCTTCCGTACTTGATAATTACTGTCCGACTATAAACACAAAAATTACATTTCTTAATTACCATGGCTAATCTGATTGGTCCAAATTATACAATTTTCAAAGCGCTAGACAATGACAATCTCACACGGACATTTTGAAAGGTTGATGTTGCTTTTAACTAATGTTAAAATATTTTTTAAAATTCAATTTAAACATTTTTTTAAAATCTTTTTTAATTAAAAGAAATAAGAAATAATTGTATTAAAAATTCAATTTTCATTGAAAAAATTTTTTGCTTTCAGAAAATATTGTCCATATTCATAAAAAAACAAATTAAAACAAATAAAAGCATTTGAAACTAAATAATATATTTGTTTTATTGAGTTTTGTATGTTACAATTCACAGCTGATTTTCAGGTACGTTGGCCAAAAAAAAAAAAAAAAAAAAAAATTTTTGCATTCTTCAAAGCCTTGTGCTTTTAACTATTGTAATCACTAAAACCGATGGTCTCAATTTCTAGAGTTTTCATAAAATTAGTTATGGGGTGTTAATAAATATAAAAAAAATATTTCTGCCATGACTTTAATAAAAAAAAAAATATTTATAATAATTTCGATCATCTGTGAATAGTTTCTGAAAGTTTCATTAACATCTGACAATTATTTTTATTTTTGCAAGATTTTCCAAATTAATGTGTGTAAATACAAAAAAAAAAGCTAAAAATTATCTATGTTATTTACTACCCCTTGTTGCGACAAAAGAGAAACAAGGTTTTTTAAATCAAAATTTAGAATATTCTAAAAGATGGAAAAATTTTTTAAAATAATTAAAAAAAATTTAGTCTATCCTCTTCATAAAAACATAAGCATTTTGACGATAAAATTTTGTTTTCATAAACTTTAGCGTTTTTTTCATCAGACTATGCTCTATGTTTTAGCGATTCCGTGGAGTGACTTAGGTTAAAAAACCCAGTTGTGTGTGTGTGTGTGTGTGTGTGTGTGTGTGTTGTGTTCTTTATATATGGGATCGGATTTCTTACATTTTCAGCCGATAAAACAAATATCCACTTTTTTTTTTTTGCAGGTAGTATTTCTTATTGTCTTGCACACTTTTTTCTTATTTACATTCAGAATGCTTTAAAAAATTCCATTTACAAGATAATTGTTTATAATAAAATTCTATTCACCAATCGATAGACTCATAACGATTGTAAACAATGTTTTTGTTGAGTTTGGGTTTGACCAATTCGTAAAAAAAAAAAAAAAAAAAAAAAAAAAACTAATTAAGACATGTGTGTCCGTTAATCTTAAACAATAATCTTTGTCAATTTTATTTTTCAGTCTTTATGATGGTCGATACTTGATCTATCTCTTACTGTTACATCCCCGGGCAACGCCGGGCTCTACTGCTAGTAACATATAAAATACGAAAAAATACATTTAGAATTTAAATTTTATAAAAGACAAAGAAGAGTAACCTAATTGTTACGTACACCTATTATAAAATTTTATATTATCACATTTATGAAATTTTTTCCTAACCAAGACAATATAAATATTAAATAAAATACCTTTACATTTCATAAATGAAACAGGTAACTCATTTATGAAATGAGATTTTTTCCATTATTCACCTATAGTTGGGACCCTAACATGTACTACCATCCTGGATTATGGTAGACCTGGGAACAACAGCAACTAAGAGGTGGTTCCATGCTCCTCAAGACGTCCAACCTAACGCTCAGAGTCATGCCAATAATGAGGAACGATTCCTTGCTATTAGTGGAAGTAACTCTAGCACATGTGACATTTTTTCAGAATTGTGCTTCCATAGTTTTGTCAGAGATGATTTTAATACATTTTTTGGCATGTTAAAAGATTATTTTAAAAACAGATGCATGTAACAGATTGTAATAAGCTTTCTAATTTATGATCTGCAAAAATAGATCTTTTAATAAGAGCATTTCCAGATATGTACATATTCAAACTTAATTTGAAAACATTTATCGATTTTTTCACATTTTTTATTTATTGAAAAAAAAATTTTGTAAAAAAAATTCATTTTTGTTGATATAAAAAAGTATTTTGGCTTCTGACAAAAAATGTCCTTAATATATATTATTCATAAAAATATTTACTAAAAGCTTTTTAAAATTAAATGTCTTAGTTTGAGTTTTGTATTTTTAAAATTCAGAGCTAAAGTTTGGGTAATGCATGTGGTGAATTACAAAAAAAAAAAAAAAAAAAAAAAAAATCAATCATTTATTCTTCAAAGTTTTCTGCATTTAATTTTGAAAAAAGTTCTAGAGATATACATATTCAAATTTTCAAGTTTTCATTGGGGATAACAGATGTAAAAAAAAAAATATTTTTACCATGACTTTCTAAGAAACAAACATTTCTAAAATAAATTTTGAACAAGTTCTGAAAGTTTCATTAAAATCTGACAATTATTTGATTTTTGCAAGAATTTCCAAATTAATGTGTTTTTCAACTGAAAAAAGTGCGAAAAAGCTAATGCTAAATATTACGCAACCACTGATGTAAAAAAACAGATTTTCAACCAAAATTTCAAACGTGCTAGAAAGGAATAAAAAATTTTAAAAAATAATTAAAAAAACATTTTGGTCTTTCCTCTTATTAATAACACAAACTTTTTCACAATAAAAAGTTGTTTTATTAAGTTTGGGGCCTTTTTTCATCATGCTATGCTGTTTTTTGTGTGAATTTTATTGGACATACCTATCGTAATCTATATCATTTGTCAATAAAAATATTTTATTTTAAAGATTTTTGCTTATTTTTATCAATTTTTAAAAGATTTTACATTAATATTACTTTTTACAAATAAAAAACAAATTTTGCAAATTCTAAAAAATTGTTTTCTAAAAGACATTTTTGGAATTTCTGTCCACCAAGGCAATTTTTGCCTGCCTCTATCTTAGGCTAAACTCATCCCTGGGTAAATGATAAAAATGGATAATTTATATAGGTATGAATTAGATTTAGCATAGTTAAAATCTACTAACCCTTCTTATTTATATTAAAGTAATTCTCTTATAAAGAGACTTTTCTCCGGTCCCAACAACTCTTTTATATCCGGTTACACTGTGTGTGTGTATATATATATATAATATATATATATATATATATATATATATATATATATATATATATATATATATCCTTTTTTGTTTTTTTTTCTATATACTTTTATTTATGGATATATAGGTAGCATAATGGTTATTGTTGTAATTAATGATCTGAGTTAACATTCTAACCAAATCTGTTACACCCACTTTTCTATTAATGCCCTTAGTTAAAAAAAGATTATTCTACATATAGGTTAAATAGTCAGGTAGTCTGGATTCTTTAGCCTTGTGTGGCAGCCAATTCAAAACATAGACTGCTATGAAATAAGTGAAGAGAGAGAGAGAGAGAGAGAGAGAGAGTCAGCTTGGACATTCCACTGTTTTTCACAGGAAGGAAAGGATCAAGTTAAGGATTACTCCTTGTTACTGCTACCATGTAGCTCAGTAAAACCTGTCATATATTACTTGGAGAGTAAATGGGAACCATCAGGAGATTCCCATTGGTCTGAGAAATGCCATCACAATGATCCAATAAGTTGAATTGGAACACTTTCCTTTACAAAACTAGCACACTTCATTTATAATTAAAACAACTGCAGCTGTGTGTAACAATAGGAAAACCAATGATCAAGAAAAGGTAGTCAGATGTTATTCATTGGCAAATAGTAGAACAAAACTATTTCAAAGAAAAATTAGTTGTAACAGCAACAAATGATGTAATAACTTCAAGGCACATTATGAAACTATTTGTATGGTCCTTTATGGCTCATGACAAATCTAAATGATATTTTTTGACAAACACTAGAAACGTATCATAAAACTAAATCATGAACAATAAAATATAAGCTTCATATTCTACTAATTTTTTAATAATGATAATGAAAGATATCAATTCTAATAAAGTGGGATTTACAAATTACTTGAGTGTTATTTGCAGCATTAATCACATTTTAACTTTTCTATTGAGATGAAATGAAGTATTTTATCACTTTCATCTCATCTATGTAATAAGTGCAAATGTCAGTGTGTCACACCTTTTCAATTTTGCTCCTAGATGCTGTAGCCCAACATATCATGCCATTTTGGAATCAGTCTGACTCCATAAGTAAATTAAAAACATTCCAAACCAAATCCGGACATGCATTCTTGAAATTTTGAATTCTCTGCAATTGTTTTCAGCGATTATTTTGACAAGTTTTTTTTTGTATGATAACACTTTTTATAACTTAGAAATAAACTTGGGAATAATCAAAATTAATTGCAAACTCCAGCGAAAGTCATCCATGTAATAAAAATAATTGTTTGTACAGAAAGTAAGGATCTACATACATCAAATTTTCTTTAAATTAAGTGGCGGCAGAAGAAGTATCGTTGAACTTTTAAAAGGTAAGCTTAGATATAAATGCAATACTTAAATGCAGTGATCAATTTTGAGTCCTCTGTTTCCTATCTCCTCTACTCCTCTCTACCTATTGTGATGAAGGCCCAATCAAGAGCCATCTGCAGGAGCTAGTTTAAATGCCGCCCAATAGAGGGACTCTTAAGCTAGTATGACGTGTGTCAAAGTTAAAAGTTTTCAAAACCAAAGCAAATATGATTAAGATTTTCGAAAATTCATTTTTGTTTTGTGGTGATCTAAAACTTTTTACGCCTTATCAAAGTTAATTGTATTTAGAACAGCAGATTTCTTGTAGATTTTTCAAAGTTTAAAATTTATCCAATTCATATTTTGTATAGAATTAAGTTTTTACAAAATTTGGCAGCATAATCATCCAAAAGAGAATATTTTCAAACACAACGTATCAATTTTATCCATCAGATTCTTACCAAAATTTAGAAATAAATCAGTAATTTTTACCTTTGCAGCAAGGATAGAGCAAATTGCCACTGACATTCTATTCATGGAAGAATCCTCAAAAGAACATAAACATTCCATTACAAGCTCTGCACAACGGAAACGATCAAAACCCTTTGGGAAAAGGCAAAGGAAAAGAAATGTTAGGTGTTTAACAAATATATGTTTTTATATATATATATATATATATATATTTTATAAAATGGAGGATTGTTTGATTAGCAAGGTCGGTTTTACTGTTTTTAATAAATTAATAACATTTACCGGCCTGAATGTCCGAGAAATTTTCATAGAAAATATTCGTCCTCCGACAGGAATCGAACCTGTACCCAATACGGAACCGTCATATAGCCTGACGTGCCTTAACCAATCGAGCCTGATTAATACTGTTTATTATAAAACAGAGCATTTACTTAAATATTTGTATCTATAAAAAAGAATGTATAAACATAAAAATGTCTTAAAATAATTGTCAGACTTTGTCCATTTCATAATGTGTGATGTCATTTGTTTACATCTGGATACGCTTTGAGCAGATATGAATGTACGTGAGAGATTCATGGAAGATTGCAGTTTAAAAACAGTAAAACCGACCTTGCTAATCAAACAATCCTCCATGGCTTGATTGGTTAAAGGCACGTCAGGCTATATGACGTTTCCGTATAGGATACAGGTTTGATTCCTAAACTAAACACTTGATTTTGGATAGTAAATATCTATTTTAGATTGTTGTTTATTTCTTTATACTCCCAAATAGAAAAACATATAAAATACTAAATAATGAATAATACACTTGTAAATATGTTAAACTTAGATTTAACAAAATCAATTAATAAAAACTTTTGAATTTAGATTAGAATAAAAAATTGTTTTTCAAAAGTTATGAAAAAATACCTCAAAGTCAAAAATGCTTACTTATATCCTGGAACATATTCTTTACTTGAGAACACCAAACTTACATGAAGATATATTCTCTCATCAATCAATAGCAAATTACTAATTTTATTAAATAAAAGTAATTTTCTGGTGACACTTGATATACTTATAAATGCATTTTATAATATTGGATATTAATCTCAATATAACATACAACAGAAATTATCAAATAATTGTAAAACTTACAACATCTTGTAAAATTCGGTCACTGCAGAGAGTTAACAATGCATTCTTTTGTAACTGGAAGCAAAAAATATAAGGATTTGTTGAAATTTGGACAATGAAAAAATATACTTAAAGGAATCTGTAAAATTTATCAGGGCTAAATGAGTGAAATATACACCAATATTAGTATAGCAATGATTTATGATATTATTAAATTGATATAAAGCTTTAGTATGATAAATCAAATCCTAATAAAAGTAGAGAATTTCGACAGAAAAATTTATTAGTAAATAAATGTTTAGAATTTCAACCTTAATTCTGGGAATTGACAACAATTTGGTTAGATATGGCATCTTTCCTCAAAGAGATTTTAATTCTTTCAATATTCATTGTTAGTCTTAAGTTGAACATCTAGATAAAAACTTTGAAAGGTTCACCTCATCTCATTCTGTTTGTGAAAAATTAAAAGCAGGTGTTTTTGAAACCTGCTGAATGTTTGGTTGATAATCTTGTGTGAAAAGAGTTGAATAATCAGTTAAGCTAGAGCTGAATTAAACAGTAGGAATAGATATTGGGTAAACACAATGTGTAAATTTTTCAACTGAGAAAATGCATTTTCTTCGATTTAAACTGTTCATTAATAGATTCACTGCAAGTAGGGATTTTTCTTTTTCTTAATAGCATCGAGTTACAGTAGCAGTAAAAACAACATTAAAGCAAACAGAAAAAACTTTGAACTATGCTCACAAGAAATTCTTGAAATGGAATTCTGAGGATTCTGAATTTCTGATTTTTTAACTATCAGCCTTGAGAAGCACAATTCCATTCACAGAGATGAATGCATTGCCAATAATCTGAACTGTTTTATGAGTTAACACTTTCCTAATGATAATTTTTATCTTTTCGCACACTGACTATAGTACTTGTCACTAACTTGATCAATTTTTTGGATTGAAACTGTTTAGTTATATTTTTCAGGTTGCATTGAATATGTTAGAATGATATAGTTTATGTTCTTTTCTAAAAAGAAAACAAAAAAATCTATCTCTATTTGAGACTGGAAAAATTTTATGTTTTAAATTTTATATTCTTTCAGTTGAAAAAAAAACCCATCTCCCTATGATGTGTTTTAAGAGTAAAACTCTATATCATTTCAAGTTGTGAATAATCAAACTCAAGTTGGTATTAAACAATTTCAAGTTGGTAAATATATTTTTTTTGGTAAACAAATGAGACATAACAATGAAACTGAGCTAGCAAATATTGTCACTAATTCATGAATATCAATGTACTCATGCATGTCAAAAATTCATATTCTCAAGATCCATGGCTGGCTGTATAAATCGCTGAACATGTGTTAGCAGAGCAGTTTCATTTATTATTCAATTATTAGATTCATATTATTAGAAATATATTTGATCAAGTTGGGCACTGTAAAATTACGTTTGTGTTGCATTTCCCCATCCTTCGCCTCCAAGAACTTGAGAAAGATTCAAAGCTACCTCAGATTTTACACCAGCCTTAAGAATTGACTATGCTCCTTTTATTGGATTCCTCATTGGACTATATGATCCGATGCCTAAGAAGTGATGATGGGCAAACTCAGGTCCAGAAATACATTTTCCAACAAAATATGGCAAGGGGGCATAGTCAACCACCAATAGCACAGCTTACTGGTATCTGTTGTGGGCCCATTGCAAACAATGTTTCACAAACTCTTCAGATTGTTCTTTTTTGAATGACCCTCGACAGATTTCATGATAGATAAATCTGAGGCTACTGATCCCTCCAATGATGTGAATATTTGTCCCATGAGTCCCAGCAGTGACTACAGTGCTGTGACTCCCCTTCCTTGATCACCCTTCTGTATTAAAAAGATACCAATTAAAATTTGTTTCAATGTAAACAACTGGGATATTGTCAGCCTGGAATCATAGAAGCTCCTTACACATTGTTGTTTTTTGTTTTATTGATTTTTATATTCACTTCTCCTATCTCATATAAACTTTTTTGAGTGTGAATAATAGTCCATTCAAATTTGTCAAAATACATTTCAGAACTCACAACCATATTGAATCTCTGAAAAATCAAAGCTGCCATTTAAAAATCAACATTATTCCACATACTCTTCAATAAAAGCCTTGTGTTCAGCACCAATTTTAGAATGCCACAATCCACCATGTTGCTTTTCAAGTTCATCACATCAGTATGCTGTGGATATTTTAATTTCAAGACTGTCCACAAGACTTTGCCAATCTCCACTAGTATTGTATGCTACGCTTATTTGCTTCTTCAAATCAGCCACCTGGACTTTCTTAATATAATTACCATCTTGATTACCAACAGCTGCCATGGCAATCATTTCAGGTGTGGATGGGCAAAGAATGAAATATTTTATTTGTTAAAGAAAACCACGTGATCATGATTAATCAATTTGCATATATGGTGTGTTTAACTGATGATGCATGTTGGGAATTGCTCTTGTTCATTTACACCTGGGTGGTACCAACTTGAAATTGTTTAGTCTCAATTTGAACTTGATTATTCCCAACTTGAACTTGAAATGCTATAGAAACACCATAAGAAATAACACTAGATTTTTAACTTGATTAACAAAACTTATATTCATTCTTTTTTTCCCTCTAAAATTTTAGCATTGTCAGTACCTGTTGATGTTTAGGAAAATTTTCCATTGACAATAATGTTAGTTCAACTACTTTTCGTAAACATGCAGGGTGAATTTTTTGGCTGACTTCTCCTTTGGTAAGGTTGTATAAACAAGCAGTGGCAGCCATCTGTACACCCAACTGTTTTGGATGGGATTTCATTCCTGGTAACACATGCTGAAATGAACAATAATCATAATTATATTGACAGCTTTTGTAGAAATTTATAAATTTTCAATCATTATTATTATTTTTTTACTAAAATTTTTTTTCTAAAATTAATAGGCTTTCTTTCTTTTTGCTAGTGACATCTTTTTGTCCACACACGCACACAAAATTTAAAAAAATAAGATTATATTATTAGAATACATAATGAAGGCTAAACTGTCATTGGCTTTCATTTAACACTAACAAATCAACAATATCAATTAAGTAAAATTTTTATAAAATTTACTGGTATTAGCACAAATATTCTATAAAAAGAAAATTATTACAAAATATAAAAGTAGATCTGAGATGAAAAATTTAAGTCTTTGGAAAGAAAAACAAAATCAACTATAAATGTAAATTTACAATCACCCAAAATAAGAATCAATAAATATCTGTGAAAATTATGGAGTTAAGATATATATAATTGATTAATTCTTACTTGTCTGTATATTTAACAGATTCAGTGATGTACTCAAGTAATAGGTTAACATTAAATTAAGACAATATGCAAGATTTTAATTTATAATTAGGGAAAAATATTTAAAGTGGCACAGACTAGGATGACAACCATTGTAACAATGAGCATATATTATGTACATTAATGATGAAAAGAAAATACTTTTAATTAAAACACATTTGGTTCAAAAGTTCAACAGCTTTGTGAAATTTAATTCTTTAGTCAATTACAAGATTTTTAAAAGAGAAAATATGAAAAACAATAAGTATTAAATTTGTATCAGTCAAAATTATCCTTATTTTACTACTGTCACTACAAGTTAGAATAGGAAGTATTCTTTGAATTGAAAACTATTGTAGGTAGGTATAAATCTTAACAAAAACTTCAATGTTTTTTTCTCAAAATTTTCTTTTGTTCTGGTTTTAAATATGTACAATATTTACATTAGTCGGACTATTGTCCTCATCTTTGTCGCCATATTTGTCACAACGTTTCGGCCGTTGTACGCTCCGGCCTTCTTCAGGTGGTTGGAATTTCGAACTGAACCCTTTATTTCGATCACTGGGGTAGACTGTTCTAATTCCCACGTGCCATGTTTGATGGATGTCAGTTATCAGTTATCTCCTGCTAATTTTCCTCTGAAAGTTCTCCACTGCCTTAACCAGGAATTGAACTCACCTTCTTTGGGTCTGTCACTGGATCTAACCAACGCCTTTATCCACTGTGCCATGTGTTAAGGCAGTGGAGAACTTTCAGAGGGAAAATTAGCAGGAGATAACTGATAACTGACATCCATCAAACATGGCACGTGGAATTAGAACAGTCTACCCCAGTGATCGAAATAAAGGGTTCAGTTCGAAATTCCAACCACCTGAAGAAGGCCGGAGCGTACAACGGCCGAAACGTTGTGACAAATATGAGGACAATAGTCCGACTAATGTAAATACTGTACATAATACCTCATCTCAGAAATATAGACAAACTCTAAATAGCCCAACTTGACATATACATACATTACATTTTATAATAATATAATTTGGTGCACATTCGTTAGACATGTAAAAGTTATAACTTTGTGTGTTACAAGATAAATTTTAAAAACAAAATCAGCAAAGTGATGACTTTTTAAAATAATAAAAATGTCATGAGACACTTTTTCAAGCAGACAACACAGACAATGTAATACCACAGATAACTAATGGAAATACAGGTTATTATTTCTGGTCATTATGTAATATCTGTACTCACCTTTATTATATCTTGACGAGGCTTAACTAGGTTTTGTGTCAAACTAAATAATGTATATAATGATTTCTGGACATATTGTGATCGGGATATATATCGACGCAATGCTTCCAAAATCTGAACTTCATTAGCTTCACCAGTAACCTGCAAAAAAAGAAATAAAACAATCTGTACTTATTTTTCTTATCGAGAGTTTGGTATGCAGCTGAAAACAGATGATTCGGAGAAATGGCTTTATCTCTTTCTTGATAAATTAGGGAAACACATATATTTTTCATTGAAAAAAATAAGGAATGAGCTGTTTCACTTAGGGTGGAGGTTATGAAGCTCAATTCATGTTGTGCCAAGAAGGTGACCTGGTTTGTTTTCACTGAGACGGCGATCGGCCACAGATGGAAAACAGTTTTGTCTCTTGTTTGAGAATTTAGATAAACAAATATATTTTTGTTAATGAAAGCAGACTGGGAAATAATTTTTATCTATCGCATGGAAGCTTAAAATGAGAATGAATTTCTCGTAATGGGTCAGATGTACTGTATGATTAAGGCTGGAGTTATAAGAACAAATTCTGTCATTGGTGGTCTGGTTTGTATTTTTGTAGTTCCAGGAAAATAGAAAAGATTTGGAAAATTAAAATTAAAGGCTGGGATGGAAATCCACCCTTCTGCCTATGTACTTTGAAAATTAGATTTGTCACAAAGACAGTTATGAATGGGAAGTGGGCTACGGTTGAATGCTAAGAAGGAATGAGGAAAGGGCAGAATTTAGCCCCACCTGTGTGAAGTAGTGGTGTGAGGTGTGATTTGAAGCCAGTGGGAGTAAAGGAAAAGGAAATCCCTGTGACTACTCCCAGCGAAGGTGGATAATTTTCCAAGTTTTGCAAGTTAATTAAGAAAGCAGATATAGGAAATAAAGCCTTTATTTGAATTAATGAAAATTAAAGACTCAATGAATCCCCAGAACCCTTTGGTCCCATGCCAGTTTTTGGCCATAGTGCATATAAACAGATGACTTTGGGGAGCTCAAAGATTTCGGGCTGAGAAACCACATATAGTGCTTCTGGAATCCATGTCATCTGCCACTAGAATTCCTGATTTCAAGACTTTGAACCCAGCCTTCCAGAAGTATAGACAGGGCCCAGTGTCACTAGAGAGACTGATGTGGGAAGGGTTAATTTTTGTTGTACCAAGAGCTATATTAACCCACAAATCTCTCATTTTATTTTGTTGTTGTGAAGATTTTTTTTTTCCTTAATACTTCAAACTACAACGATATTCGATCTTCTACTGCTCCGAGATCAAGAACATGTGGGCAGAGACAGTGTGGATTGAAACCAACAACCAGCTTGGACCAGAATCAGCACTGACCAGCGAAGCTTCAGCCTATGGTTAAAACATCATCCTAAGACACTGAGAACCTGACCACTAAACGTGCTTACACCAGTGGGTGTTACATTATTTGGTGTCTGTGGCTAAGGATGTGATCCTATTGGCAGGGGGTGTTACAAATAAAATACAATATATATAAATTAGCAGGATAAAATGACTGATATGAAATATTCAAACAAAGTATGTAAAATGGAATATGTGAAAACCAGTTGGATGATTACAGTTTTTTTTGTTTTTTTATTAAGAATTAATATATATTTATCTATAAAATAAGTATTAATTTCAAATTCGTTTAGAATTTTTAGGAAAATTTTAAATTAGAGAAAAGTGGGCAATACAAAGGAACAAAAATGATTGAAATCCAACAAACTTAGAAAACAGAGAATGTACATACTTATAGATATGCATATGTAGTAGTTATACAAAAAATTTATATCATTAAATATCAAATAAAGTATTATGTAGTTTTCAATGATTAATACAACTTTATTTAAAAGAGGTCCTTTTTAAACAAGTGAGACACAAGTGGTAAACTTATCCAATGAAATAGATAAGACTTCATAAGTCAAAGCACAATCCTTACAACAATAAAATTGCCTTGTGAATTTAAGCATTTTGCAGAAGAAAACACATTAAACTGGCATGCCCGGGTCAGTGACAAGCCAAGAAATTTCAACTTTGGATGGTGCTGAAGAAACTCTCTGAAAAAAATAAAAAAATTATTAATAATAATAAAATAGTTAAAAACAGTAATTGGTTCAGGAAATATATTATAACAGGAATTCAAAGTCATTAAAATAAGTAAAAAGAGAAGTAAAAAAATCAATTTTTTTTTATATGGTTGGGAAATGGATTCAATTGTTATTTTTAATAGGCTTATAAAAGCTGCACCAACAAGAACTTAAAGAGAAAACAGTATATTATAAAAGTAAAACAAATTGTAAAAACATTGACACAGATATGAGAATATTTTTAAATAACATGATTTTATAGATCAAAGAAAACCAAGCTATTATTTTATTTTTTTGTGTAAACAGATAAAAAAGAAGGAATCTCTCCCAGAATTACCTTCTAGAAACTATCAGACAGAAGGATATATTGTCTTAATTTAAATTAAATTTACTTCCTATCATTTCTAAAATTTGTCTCAAAAAGGAATTAAAATCATTGATTTTTTATTACTAAACACAATTTGATAACGAACTTTAGTTATTCCCATAAAATTTAGTTTAACTTAATTATATTTCTAAAGAATTTATGACATTTGTTCTATTTCAAGCCTAGCTTTTACCTTTGATAAGTTCTATTCAAGATTTAAATAATCCTTGTGCAAGTATAAATACTTTTACCTATTGAACTAAAAAAAAAAAAAAAAAAAAGTACAATTAATATTTTGAAATAATCCTTGCTTCTAATTGATAGAACTGTGTATATTCCTAACATTTTGACTACCATACACTGACATATCAAAAATCATAGGATAGCAGTATGCAGGTGGTGCCACCATAACTTGAAGCTATAAAAATACCTAGATCTCTATCAGTTGTGATCTGACAATATGAAAACTGATTAAGAAGCTTATGGCAAGGCAATGTGAATTATTGGAGTTTGAATGTGGAATGATAGTAGGTGCCAGACAAATAGGACATTCAATTTCTGAAATTGTGGGAACATTTGATATCCCTTGATTTGCAATGTCACAGGTTTTAACAGGAATACTTGATGGAAGACATTGTCATTCACTATGGAAAATGTTACAGTTGACCACATGTCCTTAATGAAAGTGACTAGAGGTTTCTGGTTAGAATTGTCTGCAGTAACAGACAATACCAGCTCAAAATACATTCACATTAAAAGGAGGAGGCATCAGACACATACCCAGCAAGTTAGTTTGCCATTCTTTAGCTTTCACGAGATACAATAGCAGTAGAGCCACCAGATAATACCAGAATATTGGATATAGTACTGTATAGGGGATCATAACATTGCTAATTAGATCCAGTTAATTTGAGCTGATGGTAGGGTTCAGGTGTGATGCAGACTCCATGGACTTCAATTGTCAACAAAAGCATTGAGCGGGGATTCCATAATGGTATGGAGTATATTCATGTGGCATAGGTTTGATCTATTGGTTGGTATAAACATGTCATTAACTGGTGATAGGTATCCTGTATCTATTCATGAACTCCAAGTATTCTAACAAGAATGAGTTATTTCAGCAAGAGCGCATCATCTGGCCCAAGTTAACCAGAATATGTAGAAAGTGATAGCCCAAAAGCATTCTGTAGCCACCACATTCACTTGATATGAACCTAATCAAGCATATAAAGGACATAAAGGAGATCTACAGTCACATGTAAAATCCTGAACCTACAAATATCTGGGAGATGTAGACAATTATTTAGACAGTATGGATCAACAACACCCAAGAGGTCCTCTGACCACTTGTGGAAATGATACCTATATTGAGATGCTGCACCAGTCTAGAAAGGATCCTACATGATATGAGTCACCTATCCTATTTTGGCATGTCGGTATAGATATGTGGCTACTTGACACAGTTTCTTCTTTTATTGTTGGCTCCTAACTTAATAGCAGATAAATTATGCCAATTGTTTCAATATGCAATACATTTGAAATTGCCAAAAAACTTTCACTTAGAAATTCATTAGAATATTTTTTGCTGTATTATCTTGCTAATTATTTTGTCATTTTGCTTTCTTATAAACAAAGTTAATTTTATTTTCTTCTGTTTACAAGAAACTACTGAAAAGTTCTAACCTGACCAAGAAGGGATTAAAATAATGATGCTTGGTGATCTGGTCAGAATATAGGACTTGGGTTAGGCCAAAAACTTTTCAGCAACCCCTCATATGTGAACCAAAAGAAAAAAAATGTCTGCACTAGAAAATTCAATATTCTTCTTCTTCTATATGCCATGTGCCTTCAGGATGTTGCCAATCTCCACAATTTTCTGTCCTCCGTAGCTCTTAGTAAATTTTTATCTTTTTGTTATCTTTCCTAAAGTCTGTTCTGTCAGCCATTTACACATGTTTGTTAAGTAGGTTGTGCTGCTTTCCTCTGCCATTCTTACCTTCAATCTGTCCAGTGACAAATTTTCCAAGCTCTCTTTCCTCATTATGTGCCTTAGAAATTTCAACTATCTCTTTCTAATGTTAAGTATAAGTGTCCTTTTAGTTACCATTTTCTGTAAAACTTCATCGTTCAGTGTTCAGTCCATGGTATTCTCAGCATCCTTCTGTAGAACAACATTTCTGTTACTTCAAGTCTCCTTTGTCCATTAGGAAGTAAGTAAAAATTAACATTTTTCTATGGATTAATTCTACAGTAAATAAACTTGAACTGGAATCACTGCACATACATTCATCTTTGGAAGACAATACACCTATAATATTGAATTAATGGTTAAATTCTTTTATATATGTTCTATCTTAAAACTTTTTATCATATCAATATTCTTTCCAAGGTAATTTAAAACATACAAGAAAAGAAATCCATATAACCCAACTTTCTCTCTAATGAAATATCGAAAGAAAAACCAGTATCACTTAAAAAATTACAAACTTTTAAAATTTAATTGCTGATTATAAAAATGGGGTTTAGGCCAAAACATTGTAATAAATATGGCAATAAAGATGAGGACAATAGTTTGAATAATGTAAATAAATTGTTCAATGAAATGAATGTTAAAATAAAGAAAAAAAAATCTATTTTTATTGAAACTAAACCCAATATTTTTACAAAATGTTTAAACAGAAGTAAGATTAATAAAACAATAAAATAGAATAAAACATTTTTTTTTGTTAAATACAAATTTCACAACTATCTGTAAAATAACTCTATAGAAAACTTTTCAAATGGATTACTTTCTACTTAAAACAGTATTGTGCAAAACCAACTCTGAAAGTAGACACATTTACAATCACACAGATGTTACATAAAACTACTTGTTGCAAGACAGTTATAATTTTACCCTAACAAAATCAAAAGGCCAAGGTCCCCATTCTGACCCATGAAAATGAAAAAAGAAAAAAATTACTGATTTCTACAGTGAATATCCATATTTGATGTAAATGGTTCTTTTGACAGAGAAACTGTTCACTTCAATAATTCTTAACTGTTCAAAACTATGATTGGTATTGCTGGAAGTGTCTGTCAAGCTTTAGATAAGAACAGCAAAGCTCAGGCTACTGTGTTAAATATTTTGAAGGTGTTTGACAAGGTTTGGTATGCTGGGCTTCTTCACCAGTAGTAGGGTTATGGTGTTTCTTGATAATTCTTTGATTTGATTCAATCTTACTTATCAGCTAATCTTACTTAGCTGCATCATCCTGAATGGCCACTCCTCTAGACCATTTTTGCATTAACATGGGCATCTCATCTTTGGATGATACATCTATTTACTCATTTTAACAGTAAGTCTTATAGGTTCAATAAAGTCAAATTGACAGCTGAAATTGAACATGAACATCATTCTGTTGTAAGGTGGGATAGGAAATAGCTTGTTAATCTTAACACCTCCAAAATGAAATTGCTATCATCATAGAGAACCATTTTTGTCTTCCATTAACTGATGCTAGCCTCCAGTAGAGTGACTCAATGTGTCTTCGTGGTCTCATATTTTCCACTGACATGAAGTGGAATAATTATATTGAATCAATTGCTAAGTCTGCCATTAGAAAAGTTGATTCACTATGTCATGTGACATAATTTTTCTTGCTAGAATCTATCTTGCATGTTTATAAATTTACTACTCATTATAGTGTATTGAATATTGCTGCTGCTATGTGTCAAGAAATTCTTGATAAATTCCAAAGAAGAATTGGCAATCTTATCAGTCCTGATGTAGCATCTCAGCTTCAATCACTTTCCCCCACCACCATAACATACTTTCCCTTTACTATAAATATTTTCACAGTAACGGTTCTGATGAACTCTTCTCATTGGTATCTCAACTTCATAAATTTGAGTGCAGTACTAGATTGGCAGCTAGGTCTCATAATTTTACTGTGGAAATTGCTTGTTATACCCATAGGTTCTATCCTAATTCTTTCTTCTTTCACACTTCTTGCCAGTGGAAATGTTTTCTGGCTTCCTGCTTTCGTGTCAACTATAATCTTTAAAAATTTAAATGCAATGTCAATCATTATCCTTTATCGTCTTGAATCCTGTTCTTTTATTGTTCCCTCTGTTACTTTCATTCTCAGTAACTCCTTGCATATTAGTGGCTTTATTGTCTTGCTTGAGGTGAAATGATTAAAAAAAAAAAAACAACTATTTTCTCATTTGCTTTAATTAAACAAACTTTTGTTTTTCAGAATTAATAACATAACAATTAAAAGTAAAATTAATAGACTCTTATAAAAAGATTAAAATAATAATTAATGCCAGCTGAAGGCTATCTATAGATTTAGCTTTAGGCTATGTTTTTGTATAAGATTTTTAAAAGGTTGCATGTTATTTAACTGATAGAAATAGATGTTTTGAATTTTATGAAATAATACCACTAAGTTACATTTTTGGTACAAAAGTTTAAAATAGAGTTAATTACTGTTCATGTGAGAGAACTATTAGACTCAATTTGTTAAAAAACAATAAATATTGCTGCTTTATATATTGACTAGTCTCAGTAAATAAAGTTTACTTTGACAGATATACAGATATCATGTAATCATTTAAGAGAATGTATATATGAATAGGGTTTAGCAAGAAGTTATGATTACAAACAAAAAAAAAACCCTTTTTGTTCAAGTAAACTTAATTGTCTGTTGTATTTTAAGAGTAAATAGAAAAGTACTATATTCTAAAAGATAGTATAAAGTGATTTAAAATGGCTAAATTGGAATAGAACAATAATAATCAGAAATAAAAGCAATAATAACACTTTTATTAAAACCATTACTTATTTTAAAAATGAACATTTTAATGGCTAACAATTAGAAAATACTACAAATGAAATTAAAATGAAAAAGATTATATCTAATGTAAAAATATGGATGTCACTGTGTCACACTTTTTCAATTAAACTCTCTGTCAATAACTCATGTTAAGAAATTTCGGATTCCTAAGTTTTTTATTACTGCAATTGTTTTCTGTGATTTTTTTGTGACAAATTTTTTTGTACAATAACAATTTTTATAACTTGGAAATAAATTTGGGAATAATCAAAATTAATTGCAAAATCCAGTGAAAGTCATCCAGGAAATAAAAATAATTGTTTTTACAGAAAGTAAGGACCTATGTACATCAAATTGTCTTTAAATTAAATGACAGCAGGATAATTATTGAACTTTTAAAAGGTAAGCTTAAATATTAATGCAATACGTAAATGCAGTGATCAATTTTGAGTTCTTCTGTAGTTTATTGTTGCCTATCACATATGGCAGCAGTATGACTGGCAAAAAGAAATCACTGCCAAAAGAGGACCAGATTGAAATCAAAAGAGCTAAGGCTGCAGTGAGGAAAAGAAAGTCCTGTGCAAATGAAAAACCAGATCAAACAGCAGCCAAGAGAGCTTCCAATTCTGAGAATATGCAAAGACTTAGGGACCCTCTAACTTCTAAACAAGCTGAAGGCCCAATCAGGAGCCCTCTGCAGAAGCTAGCAAGCTAGTTTTAAAATATCTCTAAAATATTATTTATTTTAACTAATATGAATGAGCTACATAAATTAAACAAAAATGCTGTTTCAGTTTTTGAAAAAAAATTAAATTGTTAAAAATGTTGCCAAATTTTTAGTTTTATCAAGTGAATAATAAAATGTAAAAAATAATGTCTTATCCAATTTTATGAAAATATTTTAACATAATTCGAAATATAAATCGGTCCTTACTTTTCCAAATCATTTTTTAAAATCATCCTTATGTATTTTAAGATAAAAATAATAAATGTATATATGTAACTTCAGCTTTTCTATATTTTATTAAATCTTGCTAGTAACTTACAGCAGAAATTATTTCCTATTTTTTATTCATAAAATATATGAAATTATTCAAATGAAAACTTTCCCAATAATATAAACTACTGAATAAAAGGAAACCCAGAAGTTAAGAGAAATTTTATGAGGTTCTTAGAAATGTATTGATATTTTTCTTAAATATATATTTACTACTAATATAATTTTTATAGCTTCTCCAAACCAGAAAAATAAATTCATTATAGGTGTGTAAAGATAGCACCAGCAGTTGGGACAAATTATATGAAGCCATAAAAAAGGTAATATGTTGCTCCATAAAATCAAAACTCTTAATGGTTGTTGATAAATGCTTCACATCTCCTCATACTACTCATGTAGATTTGTCTTTTTTTGAATTCAAAGATAGAGAAGCATTTTTTGTTTGTTTTTTCATCATAATTTCCACCAACTCTTAGTCAAGTTGGTAAGAATTTTAGTTAAGTCATACTGATATCTAACTTCATGATTTGGTTGCTAAGTAGGCACTTGAACATATATCTTAATAGAAACAAAATTAAAGAACCAAAGAAAAAAAACTCTTCTTTTTTTTAGATTACTAACAGAGACAATTGTTGTGCGATACTTGATTTTACAGCCAATAATGTGCTTAACAAATTTGAGGATATTTAGATTTATAGTTACTTCAGATAAAATGTCAGTCAGTAAATATATCATTGTTTGGGTGTTGAGCTTCCTCGAACCATTAATTTACTGCCATTTGTTTGTATAGTTAATGTATCTTAATATTAAAAAAATAAAAGTAGCCAGCATGAAATGATTACTTGCTTGCTTTGATTCAAAATTAATCAAATGGAATAAATATTTTTACATATTGCATTCAGTATTTAACTGCAAAAAAATGAAAGATGAGAACAATGTCAAGTACATACTACTTATTAACATTTTATTAATTATATTCTCTAATTCACCTTTAACATTAAGTTAACCTTTTGAACTCCGACTCCCTGAAAATTACAACTGTCCCATCCTGTCCCCACTTCAAGCATATACATATATAATTTTGAATCCCAATATTGTACTCTGTGGCCAGTTCATACCACCGGATGTCATTTTCACTTCCAATACAGAGATACAAATCATAATATAAACATTTGCAAATAATTTTTTTCTTTGATGTAAATTTTTGGGTAGCATTTATGGCTTCTATGTATTTCTTTTTATAAACTGCATGCTTGCTTTTTGTTTCTTCATCAACAAGCATAAAAACTAAAATACTTTTAGGATGGTCATGTCAAGGAACTTTTGAGACTTCAATTATTTAACTGTTATTGCTTGGCAAGATAAAAAAAAAAAATCAATCTACTTTGTTACTACCATGTACATTAGCAGTCCAGTAGAGGAAGTTCTGTTATGATACCCGTGAAAGCAGAGAGCAGCCAGTAATTTGCCCCAAAGCAGTTAAAGTACACAGTGCATGTGTAGGGTGGGGACAAAAATGGGAGACTCTGGAAATGTAGGCATCACTACAAGTGGCTGGAATGCTTATGAAAGAGATATTCATGTAGATAGTCTTCACAATGTCTGTGCAGTAATTAATTTGACTAAGCCCTATATTCAAAAGAAAAAAGAAAAAAAAGAAGAATATGCACCTTTCATATAATTTTAGAAACTTTTTAGAAACTTGTTAGAAAGATTTTGTTTGAGATTTCTGTTATTTCCTATTCCCCTTTTGCCAGTTTTTCTCTTTATTAATGTTCCTGTAAAGTCCATGTCATTGCAGTACCACATTCTTATATAGAAAAACATGATACCTAATGTTTAAAAAGAATTTTTAATAATGAAAAATCTTTCTTGAGGATTTTATTTTAGTTTTACTTTCATGCTGACAGAGTAAATTTAATATTTCCAATCAGCAAAATACTGGGGTGTATTTCAAAACTAATTTAAATTGATTGAAAGGAATTTTTGTTTGAAAAAAGTCCTGATAGTTGCATTAAAACCCAACAATTATTTGATTTTTGCAAGAATTTCGAAATTAATGTCTTTCACAACAAAAATACACTAAAATTTGCTCTTCTAATTTTTGTACTGATGCAAGAAAATCAAGATTTTTAATAAAAATTTTGAATATTCTAAAAAGGATTAAA